TCTAGCATGAAAGACAAGAATCCCAACAAACAAGGGGAAAAAGCACTTTGAAGGAAAAGTCAGAAAAGATCCAGCATGAAGGCAAAAGGGAGGACACCACTGTAAGAAGGGAAAGTAACTACAGGTTATCTCCCAGCTCAGTTCCAAAGTGTGTGCAGTCATAAGAATGCAGACACTTGCTATGATTTGCATATATTTGTCCTCCCAAACTCGTGTAAGAATTTCGTCCTCGAAGTTTTACGTTAATGGTAGTAAGAGGATGGAAACTTCATCCCACTATGGTGTTTTGAAGTAGGGTCTTTGGGAAGCGGTTAGATCAAATGAAATCATTAAGCTGGAGCCATGACTGAATTCTGGTGGCTTTATAAAGAGAGGGACCACACAAACACAGAGATACACATCCCAGCAGCCTCTAAAACTGAGGGACATAAACCTGCTTTCTCAATAAAGTAGCTTGTCTCGGGTATTTTGTTACAGTACCAAAAAGCTGAATAAGACAGCACCAAATGTTGCTCTGCTCAGAATGATCCTATAAGCACATTGGAGGGTGCAGAATGGGGAGTGAAGCGTAAGATAGGCATGCGGAGGGGAAAGAGCTAAATGCCTTCCCTAGGCCAAGTCAAAGGCTGAACTGGCAGGAAAGGCAATACAGCCTTTGGGGATAGGGAGCCACCAAAAGAACCAGCTAAGAGTTGAAACGGTGGCCTTAGATAAGGGGGAATGGAGCAGACTGCATAAGGGGATTTAATTCTTGGCATGCATAAATAGTTTTGATTTTCAAATGTTTAAAAATTTAAAAATTAAAATGAAAAGAATACACTCTCCACTGTACATTTCCTACTTTGGCAATTTCTTGAGAAGCTGAATAAATATTAGGACTTTTTGTTGCATTTCAGCTTTGGGGATGGGTTCTTTGCGAGCTGTCCTAAGAAGACAGGCCCCACCCCATCAGCAGGGTTCAGAAAGGCCCAGAAAAAAGGGGGAGAGATAGAAGCTGAGATGGAGCTGCAGTCCCCAGAGCCCACTTGCCTCACACCTCCATATACCATACATGCTCCATACACCTGGGGCATGTTTTCTAGACCCTCTGTGCTCGGTCCGAGTTGAGGCTGGGTCCAGGCCATGCCCGGGTGGGAGGAGGCTGGGAGGGGGTCAGAGGAGGAGGTGGTCTGGTCAGCACAAGGCCTCTCTACCAGTGCTAAGAGCACGGGGTCTGTCCTCCCGTCCTTCCATCAGTGTCTGGGTGGACACAACGATGCTCTGAGCCTGGAAACCAGGAACCTGAGTCACTGCACACTGCACTCATCATGTTTACAGAAAGTGAGGATATTTACAGGAACAGAAACATTCAGTTAACTGACCCTGAAAGATGCTGAATACGGCAGACAAGATGAACTTGGAGCTACACAGGGAAGGGGCACCGTGTCCCGGCCCAGCAGGGGTCTCTGCCAACAGGCCTCTCCCAATGCCCTCCGCTACCCAGGACCTTCTTGCCCCTGGCTCTCTGCTGGCAGGCAGACCCCTCCCAATATTAACAGGCCCACTTTTTCCATGAGGGAACCCAAGCTAAGAAAACAGAAGTTTCTTCCCAGCCCACTCAAGCCCCTGAGCCAAGTTATATGCATCCCAGGAGCTCCCTGGGGCCCTGTTCTCCAGGCCTGTTCCTAAGAAGGCCTCTGGGTAGTGTGAGTCACGCTGCTCCCATCCCTGGTCCCCAGAGGACCCAGGCCCACCAGGGCCCCACCTTCCGGCAGGCCTCTCCTTCTCCCCTTGGGAAGAAAGGCTTCCTCTTAGTCCAGCATCTTAAAGATGCAGAAGAGACCTCGGTCTTAGCTTTAAGCCCTCCCAGCTAATCTGAGGACCAGTGATGGGTCAGTGATGGTGTTGCTGGCAACCAGGGACAGAGGAAGAAAAACAATGACAAAAAGGGATATGTTGGGAAAGAACTGTTCTTGCTTCTGAAATGAGATGCTTCTTTCATTCAAATGAACATTTTGGTTTTTTTGGTACCAGGGAAAAATGAACATTTTTTAAAAAATGAAATGACGGTGAATGTGGATGGAATACTTTTTAATGTCTTCACTTGGCAGCATTGAAAGTTGGTATCTCCAGTCCCTCCTCAAAATATATTTTTTTAAAATAAAAAGTCTAGGACACACTATGGTAGATGACACAAAAGACAGTAAGAACGAGCTCCAGAGCCAGAACCAGTTTCCGGGAGGAGAGGAAGGCACAGGAGTGCAGTCCAGACTCCCTACAAGGAGTGCGTGCCGGACACCTGTCCCAGAGGCTGGCCGGCCCTGCTTGGTCCCCCTGAGACAGGCGGCCCCTCTCCTGCATACGCAGCTCTGGCGATTGGAAAGTCTTTTCTCCCACAGTGGACGAACGGGCCCTGGACAGACGTCTGAGACCACCTAGAGCAAGGCCAGGAAAACACACTCAGGGCTCCCCAGGCCTCGGCCTCGGGTCCGATCGCTTCTTGGCTTCCCAGCCCACTCACTCTCTCCTAGCAAGTGAGTTTGAAACTGTCCTCCACTCCTCTCTCCATGGCAGTGGCTCAGGGTCCTCACTTCATGAGCTGGTTCCAGCCGTGCTAGGCCAGCTGGAAAAGCAACAAATAAACCACAGTTGGAAGAGGGGGCATGCCAAGAAGTCGATGGGATCCGGCTAAACATGCGTACATCTGCACAGAATGAAAGTCTGCAAGGAAATAAGCCAAAACAGCCCTGGCATCATCCCTGAAGGTGAGTTAGTGGGTAGTTTTTATCTTATGTCTGCTTTTCTGTCTCTTGCAATTTTTCTACAACAAACTGGCTTTTATTTATAAAACAAAATAAGATAATGGGCCTGTAGGAAGGTTAAACAAGTAAAATTCAAGCCATGCAGCCCAAGACCCCACTTCCCCATCTCCAATGAGTGAGTCAGCCGGGGAGCTAGTGCTCCGGAAAAAGACAAGGTCACAGCCGCACTGGAGGCTGACGGTGCCTGACAGTGTCCGGTCACCTGGAACACACTCCATGGGGAACCCTGCCCCTCCCCAATCTTCCTGAGCCTTGCTGTCCCCCCACGCCAAAGGGCCCCTGCCCCTGCCCCTGCCCCTGTGACAGGAGGGAAGGGAGGGCGGGAGCAAAGAAGATGGCAGCCCACTGGCTCCTACTCAGCACAGGAGGGGCTGTCGGCCTCGGGTTCCCATGGGTAAAGCCAGGGGAGGGACACTTGACAGTGAGCAAACGGTGGTGGCCTCAGGTTACTTCACACCTCAACACTCACGAGGTCTGGCACTGGCCAGAGCCCCCAGCCCACTGGAAGAAATCCCCACACCACCTTTGTGCCCCTAGCTGCCCCGGGCCCGAGGGCCCCAGTGGGTGTCTAGGTCCTGAGCCAGCCCCAGCACGCACACACGTGGCTGAGCACAGGCGTGTGCGAGCGTGTGCATGCGTGGGGGGTGTAGTTTCCTGAGGCCCTGCACACTCAGACGGGGCTGCAGGTGAGTGTGAGTGTGGGGTTAGGAAAGGCAGGCTCCCCGTTTTGTGTCTGCCATTAGTTCACCATTCTGAGGATTCTACTTTTCAGCCCAGGACCCCAGCTGCTCCCAGCCCTGCTCATGCTGTGACCCTCCATTCTCACAGCCACCGAGAGCCCCAGCTTTGCATCCTTCAAGGCCCTGTCTCTGCCTCCGCCCCAGAGCAAGGTATCCCTTAGGAGGGGCCGTGGAGCCACTGGCTGAGTGACTGCCCCCCCCCCGGAGTCTCTCCTTTAGCACCGACGGCGGAGCACGGCTCTTGGGGCCCAGCTTGTTCCAGACAGAAAGGAAGAACTCACTGCACAATGACAAACTCCAATCACTATTCCGCCAAGATCCAGATGACGAATAGGGAAGTCTGCCAGCGCCGCCATTTGTTAAGCTGACATCGCCTCTCTCGGTGTTGTACAGGTTTTAATTAAAATCTCAGGAGTGATTTGGGAGTCCTTTTATTGTGCACCTCAGGGCTCTGCCAGGCTTCCCATAACAGAGACAAGGGCCCCACAGGCCCTACAGGGTTGGAAGGGGGGAAGCTAGCTGGCAACCCCTACAGGCTCAGCAGGCTCTGGTGACCCTGCCTGGCCCCCCCATAACCGTTCACAGGAGAGGAGACCAGCCCTGGGAAGTGCGTGTGTGTGTGCATGCGTGTCCCTCCTGTGTGGGTGGAAAGTAGGATTTAGCCCAGTTAAAGTGGGAAGAAGGTCTGAGCATTTGAGTCACCCTTTTATTTAATGGGAGCCTCTAAGTCAGAGAGAGTTGGGTAAGTTGAGGCAGAGAGGAGGAGAGGGTATCAGCAGCCAAAGTACCATGGCCCAGTCCTCCACCCACACCTGGAGGTAGAAGAGGGCGGCTTAGGAGGACAGTTCCCAGCATTAAGCCTTGTTCTTCCTGCTGGGTTCTCAGGGAAGAAGCTGAGAACATTCTCGGTCCCTCTAGAAAAGCCCTCAGCACTGAGGCGGCCTGAGCAGAAGAGAAGGGCTGAGGAAGGCTGGGCAGATGGCCCAAGGGGTCACCCTGGCTTCCTCAAGACCCCATGGTCCTATAGGGATCCCCACCTTTGCATTTGCCCAGTTTGGGGCACGGCACAGAGGATGGCAGAGGGCCTGGCTGGTGCAGGGTGGCTCAGGTGAGGGCTGAAGGGTGGCTCAAGGGCTGAGGCTCAAGGGCCTTGGCAGGACCGGAGGGAGGTTGATGGGCAGGACCAGGAGAGCCCCCAGCTGGAGCCCCAGCTTTCAGCTGTGAACCCTGGGCCAAGTCTCCGCCCTCTGCCCCGTCCCAGCACGCCATACTGCCCAGGCCTGATGGGGCAGGGGCAAATGTGTTTGAGGAGCTTTGGGGAACCAAGTTCTGCTGGACTCTGTCTGGAGCCCATTGCCCCTCCCAGTGCAGCTCAGAGAGGTGCAGGGGACCCAGCCCCAGCCTCCCCTCAGCCCCGCTGCAGTCCCTGTGATGCCACCCTCCCCACTCCTGGACTCACCCTCAGGGCTGGCAGGGAGCTGACCTGGTCCATGGTCAGGGTGGCCTCCTTGTAGTACTTGCCCTCAGGGCAGAGCTTCAGGAAAGTGTTGTGGATGCTGAGGAGAGAGGTGAGGAAGGTAGGATGGCTGAGTGGGCCACTGCAGCATCCCCTCTGTATGGAGGTTGTCTCTTTTAGGGCAGGGGACCAAGATGAAGGATCAATATAGAAAGACAGCAATAGATCTCTCCACTCTCCTGAGACGTCCTGAGCCCTTCCGAGTCCCCAGCATATCCTGGGGAGGGCAGAGATGAGCCAGGCATGAGGCAAGGTGAGCGACTGTGCCCTGTGCCCTGGAATAGTCCACAGCCCTGTTTCTGTCACGTCTCAGGGAGTCCCTCAGGCACAGATAGAGATGCCAGGGTCCCCCTGTCTGCCCATGTGCCCAGCCCTACTCTTAGTACTTGGTGGGCGCCAGCCTGCACTAGCCCTCTGGACAGCAAGCAGTTCCAGAGGACTTCAGCACTAAAGGGTCTTCCCACGGTCCCCAGCATCCACCTGTCTGTCCATGGGCCTAGAGTGCCAGTCCAGGGCACTTTGTAAGTGAGAGGCAGAGGGTGAAATGGCTGTATGACTCCTGAGAGAAAAAGGGCAAGAGAGAACTGTGTCCCCGGCCACAAGAGGATGACCCTTCACCCTCTGTTCCTCTCACTCCACCCTGAACACAGGTCTCTGCCCACCAGCAGCGCCTCAGTCTGCAGGACCAGCAGCCAAGGTGGAGAGAAGATGGAGGAGGCCTGGACACCCGATTCTGCAGCCCCCTGACAGGGCTTGGAACCTCAGCAACGTCACGCTTCTGAACCTGAGTTTCAGCTTCGGGATGGGGGCAATCAGTAGCTCTCTTGGATGGCTGTGGTGAGAGTTCAGCATGAATGAGAGAAAGGGTCATGAGTGAGTGTGTGTGTGTGTGTGTATGTGGTAACCACAGGCTGGTTAAAATCATATTCTCCACAGCCAGACAGAGCTAAGTTCAAATGCTGACTCTGTCACGTAACAGCTGAGGCCTGGAGCGAGGTTCTGGAGCCACCTGAGTCTCTGTCCGTCTTTTCGGGGAGGCAGTGAATCTCCACACGTCTACGGGGACCAGTGAGGGACACGAAAGGTCAGCACGGCGCCAGGTGGTGTGTGGAGCCCTCTCTCCCTCTGTCTCCTGTACGCCAGGTGCCTCTGGCTATGTAGAACCCAAAGCCGGGCTGTGGCTGACTGTGGGAGCCCTCTAACCTGACCCAGGCCTGCTGTCTGGCCTCTACTCCTTCCCTGTTCCTCTTTCCTCTCCCCTCAAACCTGTAACCTCAGCTGAGTGCGGGGAGGCAAGTGATCTGATCGAATTAGTCCTCACTCCGGAATGAGTGACTGACAGCCCCCTCCCCGCATGCCCAGGGTATGTGGTTTTTAAAACTCAAGCAAGGGGGACACTTGCCACTGAGGGTCATGGGGCTAAGAGAAGACCTTGGAGGGTGATTTAATGGCTAGAGATTCAGAGGTAGAGAAGGAGCCACCCCAGGGCCCAACAGCAGAGCCCTCAGGGCCACCTTGTGCCACCCTCTCACCACTCACCTTGTCCCAGCTTGCTGATATCTAGAAGATGCCCCTGGGTCCCAGCCACAGGACAGCGGAAGGAAACAAGCAGTGATTCTGCTGCCCCTGGCCCTGCCCAGGCCCTGCTCTGAGTCCTGGGAGGCCAGAATCTGCTGGCTGTGCCTGGCCCCCTGCTCCTCTGGCTTTCAGAAGGCTTTGGCCCTGGGGAAACCCAGCAAGCAACAGGAGGCAGTGAGGGAGAGGGTGCAAATTGATCCTGGCCCTCCTGGCCTCAGTGCAACTCCGGCAGTGTCTCTGTCCTTCCTCTGAGGGCTGAAGGGACAGTGGCCACAGCTGCAGCCCTCAGCTAGGTGCCCCAGGCCCAGATGGGGTGATGGCTGGTGACTTGATGCTCCCTCTGCCTCTGAAAAACGCCTTCCCCCTAGCTCATCTCCAGAGACCCCAGTGGAGGGTGCCGCCTGCTTCCTGCTCTGATGCTGACCCATCTGGGCGTGACCGGAGCTGAGAGCGCCAACCCTGGCTGTCCACGAGGAGGAGAGCTCTCCAGGCGGCTGCAGGCTGACCTAGAGAGGCCCTGACAAATGGGAGCTGGAGTGGAGCATGGGTATTCGGGGACAGCACCACGACCCTGCCAGCCTTTGCCCTATACGGAACCCCCAACTTTCACTAGAGGCTCGGAGTGAGTTTGGGCAAAAAGCGGGGTGTGGAATGGGTGAGGAGAGGTATTCTCCAGGAATGCGCTGGGCCAGGAGTGCCCAGCCCGGTCAAGAGGAGGACAGGAAAGCCACCCTCACTGCAGGTTACAGGGGCCTCCAAGGTGCAGAGCAGCAAGAGTGGGTGGCATAGCCAAAGGAACATCTGTCACCATCGTTAGAATTGCTGATGTAGGGTCATAATAAAAAACCAGACCAACTTTCAGTAGTTTTAGTAATTTTTTAAAATTCCCTCTGGCAACAATGCACCCTAGAGGCCTGTCCCCAGCCCACCCCTTCCACGGTCCCTGCGTGGGTGTCACTGGGAATGCGTGCTGTGCCGCCCACCCTCATGGAGGTTCTCGGCTCTCATGCCAGTCTTGCAAAGCTGGGACCATTGTTGTTTTAACAGATGAGGCAGCTGAAGGTCAAGAAGGGAAAATAACTTGTGCAAGGCCACATGGCAGTAATGTTAAAGCCAGGACCAAGGACACCAAAGCTCTTTTCCGTTGGGCCAAGAGAAGGGGGCATGGGAGGGGCTCTGAGGGAACGGGAAGCGGCACACTGTTGTCATCACCTCCTCTCATTACCACACCTTGTGCCAGGCGCCTCCCGGAGTGTTCCCAGCAAGCCCAGGTGGGAGGAGTGCAGGGTGACCCTTTCTATGGATGGGTAAACTGAGGCCCAGAGAGTTTGCAGGGTGTGCTGAAGGGCACACAGCTGGTAAACGGCAGAGTGGAAGGCTGAATCCTAAAACGTTCTTCAGACTCTGCTGCCTCTCCCTAAAGGGCCTGTGCTCCCCTCCAGTGAGATCTTGCCCCCCCAGTCATCCTGGGGTGGGGTGCTGGAGAGAGGTCCTGCCCGGACTCCAAGCCTTCCCTCCCGCAGGCTGACTGCCCACCAATGCATCACATCGTGCTGCATCTCGGCCGCCACGAAAAGGTCTCCTCCCCCAAACACGGATCAGCGCTGTAAATGGAACTGAGTTAATCACTAATGGACGCGCACGTTGAAGCCGTTTGGGACGCTCCATACATTCAGCCCGCCTGCAGCCAAGCAGCACAGTGTGGCCCCCTCCATATCAGCTCAGAGACAGCCGAGGGCTCCCCCACAACCCCTCCGCTCGACCTCGGGCCTGTTTGCCCTCTATGGAAGGTGAGTCTTGGTGACCCCAACACACCAGCTCCCTCCAGTTTAGGGATCCTTGGCTCTAGACTTCTCTACTGCTCTCCAGCATCCTGCCCACACCCCTGCCCCTGAGACTCTCTAGTTTAGTGGCTCTCCACTGGGATCCCCCATTAGAATCACGTACAAAGTTTGTCAAAGGATCTGTTGCCCCACCCTCCTCAACCCCTAAGATTCTCATCCAAGGCCAGAGTGGGGCCCGGCCACCTATAGCTTCCACCGGCTTCCCAAGGTTTCTATGTACCTGGCAGGACCAGGACAAGGATGCAGTACAAGCCTCGCTTTCTTCTGTGGGCCCAGCTTTCTGGGCTTCTCTATCACCCTTAGGTCAATAGAGTGGCCTGCAGACACTTTATACGCAGCAGATTTTAGTCCCCCGATCTCCTGCTTCCACGTGACCTTGGACAACTCACTGCCTTTCTCTGAGCCAGGCTCCTCCCTCGCAGAAAGGGGTAATGATACTGTGTAACAACAGCTGTCACATGCTCAGGGCTGGGCCACATGCCAGGCGTCGCTCCCAGAGCAACACTGGTTTATTGGACTTCGTGGGACGTGATGCTGTGACTCTCGCTTCACACTGTCTGATCAGTATAGAAATAGAGGCTCAGTGGGGCAAGACACTCACAGCAGCTGCACAGCCAGTAATGGCAAAGCTGAGCCTCATGGCTCAAAAAGACATCTGGGAGGCAGGAGCTTGTGGGACAGCTGATTAACCAGCATTCAGAGAGGGGGCAGAAGCATAGGCTGGGGGGCCTGGCTCCTTCAGAGACAAAGGTTGTGAAAGAAAAGTCCCACAGGCTGAAAATCTAGGGTGGGCAGACCCTTTTTTGGAGAGCCAAGCCATGGCTACTGTGTGTCACATGTGGTCTGCCCTTCCCAGACCTGGGGACCTGGTTTTATGTCCTTACCCAAATCACAGACAAGAAGGTGGGAAAGTGTTAGACAGAGACACTCCCTGCAATGGTTACCTCTGCCTGTTGGTCTCTAGGACACTTTTTTTATTCAATGGGCTACACCCATGCAATTGTACTGTCATCTAGGCCATTTCTGTTACTTTGGTAGGAAACTCACTACATGTCATCAGACGTCAGAGAGGGAAAATATTGGGCTTGATGTGGCCCAGCTTGGCCTTGGCAGCCCAGGGTGGCTGTTTTGCCCCTGGGCACCATATCCATCTACTTCCTGAGCCCCTGAGCATCCAAGTCAAAGCTGGGCTCTATGCTTTAAAGACAACATGCCCATACAAGCCCTGACGTACTGGATACCCAGGTCACCTCCAAAAAGCTAACCTATTTTCAGTGTGTGTTCCTGAGTGCGTCCTTCCAGAGACATTCTCCTTCTATATGTGTCTGTGTGAACATCCCTCATTTCCCAAAAATAGCAACATCCTGTATATGTCAGCCTAGTTTACCAAAGAAATACAGTTAAATGGGTTAAAAACACAAGTACTGTAAAGCTTACAATTAAAACTCCTAGTACTCAGTGTTTCATATTCACCTCTCCACTCCTGCTCTCCTGAAACAGCATTGTACAAACCACCTTGCTGTTTCTCGTAGATTTTTACTTAACGTTTACATAGCATTTGTATACACTATGCAGATGCTGACATTTGTCAATATTTTATGATAGATATTATCTTGTGATGTTCTCCTATAAAAAGAGGATTTATTTTTCATTGTATGCCTCTTCTTTCCTCATCTTCCCACTATAAAACAATTTGTCTGAATTGTTATATTGTATATGTATTATTCAAATGTTGCTCACAGCTGAGTTCCCTAGTGCAACATGATTACGTTTGCTTTCTTGAAAGGCTTTCAGTTTTTCCCAGAGTTGATAATAAACTTCATTTTTCTTTTGCTTAAGTTTAAATGTATTGTCATTGTTTCATCAACAAACTTTCTGCAGACCTGTAAAGGTCCTCTCAATGTGGTGAAAATATCAAGATCTGTAGGTTCATTTTGTTTTCTTGAGGGCACCACCCCTGGTACCCTGACCCCTTATCCCAATCTGGACAATTGCTTTCCGGGCCTGCTGACCACTGTCATCCTTGTGACTCATTTTGGCTTCTTCTGTGTTGAAACTTTTTTTTGGTCTGGATCCTTTGTCTTTTCTCTTGTTTTATTTTCTAGTTTTAACAGACCACATCCTTCAAAAGCTTTCTCAGAAAAAGTCCATAAGAGATCACATTTTTAAATTTTCACATCCAAAAATATTGTTATGGGCCAGGGATTTAGCTCAGTGGTGCTGCCGCCTGCCTCGCAAGCACAAGGTCCCGAGTTCAATCCCCGGTGCCATAAAAAATTATTCCACCTTCCGTCTTTATTAATAGTTCAGCTAGGACTTGATTCTACACTGGAAATTTTTCCTTAGAATTTTGAAGGTGTTTAGCCACTGTCTTCCGATATAAGTCCAAAGCTACCTCGATTCCTGATTTACTGTGGACCACCCATGTTTTTCTCTTTGGAAGCCTGTAGGAACTTGTCAATACCTCTGACCTTCTGTGATGTCATGATGCTGTGACTTATGTGTAGACACTGTCACCAATTCTTTCCTTGTTTCCCGGAGTCCCTTGGCTTTCGAATCAAGGGGACCATGAGGCTCTGCAGGCTGGTTGTGCAGAGGCCCCCGGGTTTCACTGGGCCTGGTAGCCCTGCATCAGCAGCTGCTCCGGAGCCTGCTGTCCCCAGAGAGTGACTGCCTGACTTCGCTAGGGTGGGGCAGAGCTGCCAAGTGTGTTGCAGAGTAATGAAGGAATCACACACGACTTCCACTCTACCTTCCTGTTTTCACCTGACCCTGCATCCTGGCATTCAGAGGTTCCTGACCTTTTCTAGGTTCTTGACTCCATCCTCCAACCCCTGCAGGCAATTTCTTTTCAGCTTTCTGCTCAGTTAAGTCTGTGTCATGTGTCTATCTGCTTTGCACTTTTCAGATTTTCAAATTGTTGATCTTTCTCATCTGCTGTCATCTCTTGTGACCTTTTTATCCTTATGGATTTCTTTCTTCTTTTAGAAAAATTTCTCTCCTCTCCTTCTAGTAGAGGAAGCAGAGCTAGAAGACGGTGTGTTTTTCACGTTGACTTAAGTGTTCCCTGCACTTAGCTCTCTTAATTTAATTGTATTCCTTGGAAATGGCTCCATTTCAAACATCCACACTGTCCACCTTCTGTCTACAGGAGCATCAGCATGGGTCCTGCTGTACAACTGGAATGGCCAGGTCGAAAAGTCTTTCCCATTCTAAACCAGAACACTGAGCATCTCCAACCTGTGCTGGGCCCTGTCCATTCCACAGAGCTCTCCACAGCTGCTCCACATGCTCATCTGCTCCCCAGTGGGGCTCCTGGGCCTGGTGCCTAACCTTGGAGGCCTCTCTGGTACCAACACCATCTTGGAGTTTCAGTCCCTCCTGTTCTTGTCTCATCCACCTTCTTAAGGTCTCCAATATGGAGGTCCATATTGGATGGGACTTGAGCCCCTCTACCTTCCACTTTGTGTTCCTTATGCAGGGACAGCCCACAGAGTCCCATGGCACTCCCGTCCACTGCTGCAGAGGGTGGCACCTCCTGAGCAGGTGCTCCCCAGGGCAGGGCGGGGCCCCTTGTACTCAGGACAGAGCTGTCAGAGGGGGTGGCTGAAAAAGCTTTGCAAGAATCCAGTTGGAGAGTTTGGACCAAAGTGGAGCCTTCCCGGGCAGCACTGTGCCCTTCTCTGGGAAGGACATCTTTGATGGGGATGGGAACAGGCTGGAAATCCCTTCTTCACAGAGACCACCTCAAGGACTGGGTGGACAGCTCAGGAGGGAGGAGTCCCTTCAGGTGACTTATTTCCAAGGACACTTTTCTCAGAAGACCAATACAGAGCAAAAGAAAATGGAGGGGCAACTCCAAAGCAAAAGCCTGGATGCCTGCCATCTTCTCTCTCCCACTCCTCCACCCTCACCATTAGCACCATGAACATACTTGCTCCTGGCACAGAAGGGGAGCCCTGGGACCCAAAGATACCATTCAAAAGCCCCTGGTACGGAAGGAGGAGTGGCTGGTCATGTTCCGCTGCCAACGAACAAACTGTCCACCCAGAAAGGACAATCTCATCATACCCGCCAACTTTGCCTGCAGTTCCATGGCTTGGAATTTCTCCAGTGTATTTACACTTGCTTGTTGGACAAGCATTCTGGGCATAAATGTTTAATATAGCATTATTTGTATAAGTAAAAACCATAAACCACTTAAGTGTCTATAGCAGGGGGTTGGTAATGAATTATGGTTTATCCACATAAGAGAATGATCCATAGCCATTAAAAAAAGAATGAGGTGGGCGGAGATTTAGCTCAGTGGTTCTGCCACCTGCTGCACAAGTCAAGGACCCGAGTTCAATCCCCAGTACCAAAAAAAAAAAAAAAATGAGGCAGATCTCTGTGTGCTTTGTGTACAACTGTCCAGGAAAACTTTCTTTAAAAGGTGAAAAGCAACATGAATGAGATGAATGCTACCAGACTGGGCAAACTGTTGAAGGTCACATGTGTGGTTCGGGAGCCTGGGTGACAAAGCAGCAGTGAACAGGGCTGGTCCAGCAATGACTGAGAAGACAGAATTTCATTTGGAATTTTTACCACATTCAAATTTTCTAACCATGCTAACATGTTATTTTATTTCACTTTATTTTTATTCATGAATTACTTTTTAAGAAAATATTGATGGGGTTATATGGGTAGTGAGACATGGGTCATTTGGGGTACTGTCATATTTTTCTATTTTTTAGAAAAGTGAGAACATTATTTGTAAAAGAGAAATCAAAGAGCCCCATGACTGCCCTGGATCTCCATAGCTCCCTGTGACCTAGTCACCCCTCTTTCCTCTTTGTAGGGGGAGAGTCTTATGCTGTGGCCACCAGGCTGGGCGTGGTGCCTGGGGAGGGTTAGTCCAGGCAGAGTTGATGAGGGGAACTTGAGGAACTCAGGCCAGAGTCCTCCCTCTTCCCAGAAATGTCTTTATCTAACAGGGTGTTGGGCACCAGGCTCAGTGATCCCATCCACGACCCCAGGTGGGGGCATCTGCGGCACCACCATGCGGGGCGACAGTTGTCATTGTCTGGGAGCCTTCCCTGCCTTCACCCCAACCCCACTACATCCACGTGGCATAGCATGTAAAAGGCCTGGAGGGATGCCTGGGCAGGGCAAGGCAGGTCGGGAGAGAGGCCAGGCTGAGCGTCTGTGAGGTGTCAAAGTTAACCAGCCAGTGAGTGAAATGAGCCAAAATGGGCTTCAACCCTCCTTTCCCTGAGTCCTTTCCTCCTTTTCCTCCTTGTCCCAAGGAAGAGGCCCTGCCAGCTCCATGGTTCTACAAAGAAACTGGCCTGAGCCCGTTGTGGTGGTGGATTCCTGCAATCCCAGTCCTCTGAAAAGCTGAGGCAGAAGGACTGAAGGTCCAGGCCCAGCCTGAGCAACTCAGAGAGACCATGCCTTAAAGAAAAAGGGTTAGGGCCCTGAATTCAATCCCTAGTACAAAAAAATAATAATAAGAGGAAAAGAGGGAGAGGGGGAGGGAGGGAACGAGGGAGGGAGGGCGGGCCGCTGGTTTGAGGTCGAAATGAAAGTAGAGCAACCTGATGCTTCTTCCTTCAACTCCAGGGGCCATGCCTGTCCCAGCTGCTGCCCCGTGGTTTTGTGGCTCTGAGCGGGGCACCCACAGACCGGAGTGAGGCTGAACCAGGGAAGGAACTAGTGCCCAGGAAAAGGGGCCCTGTCCCTTTACTCACCACAGAATTTCACTTCTGGTCAGGAAGGTCAAGGCCTGCAACAAATCAGAGAGGTGACCGGCACTCAGTCCAGCCCAGCCCTGGCCCTGGCCCCTTGGGAGAGCCGGAAGCTTTGGATAAGGGGAGGAAAAGTCCACTCTCCCGTCCCACAGCCGAGGAATGGGAGGTAGCAGCCCAAGGGAGCAGAGAACTTGGCGCTGGAAGGAGAAATGGCCTCTCTTTCCCTCCTCTCCACGGCTGTGGGAAGGAGGCCTGGAATGGGGGTCGGAGACAAGGCTGGAGCTCTGGGCCCTGGATCAGGAGACATGGGATGGCCCACATGGGAGCCACAAGAGCCACCCCTGCCTTGCCTGGCAAACGCTCGTGTCTTGGGTGTGTTCTCCTCTTTGTCCCACCTGCCCTGGGAAGCCCCCGGCCTGCTCAGAGTCCACTCCTGCTCCACGCACCTGGTACTCCTCCAGGTCTTCCCAGCACATCTGGTACCTCGAACACTGGCCCATGCCAACCCAGCCTCCCCTCTGCCGGCAGCAGAACCGAGGGCCCCGGGGGCTCATCCCATGTTACAACCAGGTGATTTGGTTGCCGTGGTAACCCCGTTCCAACTTCTACCCCTGGGATGGCAAAAACAAAACAAGTTCTTTTGGATCCTTGGACGAAGAGACATCACCCCCAAAACCCCAAACGGAAAGACTGCCCAAAAGCAGTCCTGGGAGTCACACTGTTGGCTCAGGAGTCACAAGGCCGCGCTGACCATGTGGCTGGCCTGTGGCGGGCTACCGTGTGTCTCTGTCTCCATCTGTGGGGGGGATGATAATCAGGACTGTTCTGAGGATCACTTGAGTCAATGCAGATGCCAGCGCTCAATAAATGTTAGAACCAGGTCCCAAGTTCTGTGCCAGGTATGGGAGGCAGAAGATGGGCCTTGACCTCAGAAGGTGGCCTAAATTAAGGTACAGAAAAGGACATTCCAGGCCACCCATCAGGGTCCCTGGAGGAGGCATACTGGAATCAGGAAGAGTTTCTAATTAAGGGCCAGCACACAAAGGTGAGTCAGGGTGAACTCCTAAAAAGCAGCCACCAGCCCTGACCCAGTGACACAGAACACTCTCCTCTGCCCTGACCACTGCAGGGGCAGAGCAGGGTGGAGCAGACTGGACAGTGGATCAGAAAAGACAGAGGAGACAGCCAGCAAAGCCACCAGCAGCACAGCTCGGGGCCTCTGGAAGCCACTGCCCTCCCCTCTCCCGGATGGCTGCATGTCCACCCTCGCCAGGTGCTGGACTCCTGGTCTAGGGCATGCCCTTCCCACGCTGTCGTAGGTCAAGAGCCCGGGGGCTTCCCGAAGTAGCTCATCTGTGTCTGGACAGGCAGCTGCACGCGCCATCTTGGTCCTCTACAGAGACAGAGCTGGCAGAAGAAAACCCAGAGCCCCGATTCACTTACTCTGAAGACCCCAGTGTGCTACCCACAGTGCACCGGGACTGCTCAGGAGATCGAGGCTGATGCATTGGAGGTAACAGCACAGTTTTGACTCTGGGCAGCAAGTCCTCATGTGGACCATGACATTTAAGCGGCTGTTAACATGTGATGGTTGACAGGCTGGGCTTTGAAATATTGACGACCTGGCTGCACGCTTCCTTCCTGTATCGCCTTGAGCAATTTACAAAATGATTTTAAGTCTCAGTTTCCCTCATCTGTGAAGTGGAACTAATAAATCCCTACTTTATGGCAAGGGGAAAATAAAATGATGCAAGTAAAGCTCTGGTTTTAGCAAGATACTCGATACCTATGGAGTACTCAATGAAGGAGAAATAGTATCATTACTTTTAAAAGTTGGAACTGAGCTAGGGATGGGGGAAGACACCTGGAATTCCAGCGCTCTGGGAGGCTCAGGAAGAAAGAGCAAAAGCTTGAGCTCAGCCTGGGCAGCTTAGGGACTGAGAGACTTAGCATCTGTCTCAAAAACAAAAAATTTTAAAAGGGCTGGGGATGTAACTTAGTGCAAAGGCCCTGGGTTCAATCACCAGTGCTGGAAAGAGAGAGAGAGAGAGAAGAGAAAGAGAGAGAGAAAAGGAAAAAGTTGGGCCCAGGAAGGAGGGCAGGACTTCCGCAGGCAAAGCCACAATTCAATCCCATCTTCGGTGAAATCCTTGATTCCTACTGTCATGTTCCAAGCGGCTTCTAGCTGCCAGGCAAGTCTCCCAAAGCTGGGTCTGTTCACACCCACAGCAGCTCGAGGAGGTGGGCAGAGGGTCCTGACTCCTTCCCTCCAGGAAGGAGGAAGCCCGTGAGGTTGTGATGCTGTTGATGTGGGTGAGTGGCAGGCCTGGGGATGCCCAAGGTGTGGGAGGGGAAGCCGGGCACCTTTGAGATCAGATCACACCTGGCAGGCGGCCTCCCTCTCCCTCTGGCCCCTCCTCCCAATTACGCAAGGTGCAAGCCAGAGCTTGGCACCTGCAGTTGTGTCTTTAACACTCAGCTGACGCGTGCTAAAACGAGGACAACAAAAACAAAGGAGAGAAGGGCCCTTTACCTCAGAGCTTTTAGCTCCTGACAACCCCTATTTATTGACAGTGGAGCTGGGTCGAGCTGGGGCCAATACAACAAAGAATGCCTGCCTGTGTGGACCCTCACAAGCCCATTAACATGACCCCGTGAGCCACAGTCCACAGGTAGCATAGTGCAGCTAGAGATGGAACCCAAGGACCAGGCTAGAGGCTGGCATGGGAGCCTCTGGGGCCCGGAACGGCCTCCAGCAGAGGTGCTACCACAGCAGGGACTTGAGTGACATGTGGCGAGCCAGCCTGAGATGGCCCAGAGGCAACAGGATCCCGAGATTTAAATAGCGCTGTTCTCATCCCTTCTGTTGGGAAAATGATGCAGGTTGGTAATTTATAATTGTGACACAAACTTTCCTTTATAAACGTATCTGTTTACTTTTACTTAAAAGAAATAAGAGCCCACTTAAAAGTATTAAGTAAATTATTACACAGGTGGTAAATGAATGAGCCAGAAATGACAAAGGTTGCTCTGTCTCTCACACACACACACACCCACTCCAAGGTTTGCCAACCGTGTTTCCCTCTTCTCTCCTTTAGCTTTCATCCTCCCAACCCCCATCCTTCCACCTTGCCCCACCCCCACAGGCTTTGTGCTCTGTGATTTCATACAAGACACGATTTTTATTGGTTCCCACAAATAACAATAGTAACAATAAGAATGTCACCTTAAATTTGCATATCCCTTTACCGCTCCACAATGCTTTGAAAAATAAAATAAAATAAAAGCCTATGCTTTCAAAAAGAAAGAAAAGTCCCTCATGCGATTCTGCCTTCAAACATTAACCAATCTGTAACCCTACCCCGCCAGCCCACTGGGGCTCTGTGACTCCTTTTCAGCAGGATTTGAAATGGGTAGAACTGAGCAGTGAGCTGCCTCTGAGGAAGGACAGGTCTGCAGAATAAATAATCCTTCGCTCTAGGGTCTGTGTGGGATGGAATGCATCCTTTCCAAGGTTTCTGTCACCTTGCAACACACTACAGATTCTTAAAAAAGCAACACTTTCTCCAACCATGATTTAGATGTCTCTCAAAATTCAACAGGCATCAAAAAAGAACTTGTATCCAGAATATGTAAAGAACTCTTACAACTCAACAACAAAAAGACAACTTAATTTAAAAATAAGCAAAGGATTTGAATAGACATTTCTCCAAAGATAACACATGAATGCCCAAGGAGTACATGAAAAGATACTCAACATTATTAGCCATCAGGGAAATAGATGCAAAGGAAAATACAAGGAGATGCCTCTTCACAAATAACAAGTGTGGGAGAAGATGTAGAGAAGTCAGGACGTTCATACATTGCTGGTGGGCATGCTAAATGGGGCAGCCTCTTGGAAAAGTTTAGCAGTTCCTCAAAATGTGTAGCAGAGTTAGCCTATGACCCTACTCCAAGTGTGTGTCCAAGAGAAATAAAGACATGCATCTACGTGAAAACTTGCACAAGGCAGGGCAGCATTATTCACAACAGCCAAAAAAATAGAGGTAACCTGAATGTCAATCAAATGATTCACAGATAAGTAAAATATAGTATATCCGTAAAATAGAGTGTTATTTGGCAATAAAATAAATGAAGGATGCAGGCATGATACAATGTGGATAAGACCATATTGAAAACATACTAAATGAGAGAAGCTAATCACAAAAGCCACAGGTCATGATTCAATTTGTATGAAGTATCTTGAATAGACAAATCCATAGAGACCCACGGCAAGGGAGACTAGGCAGTGACTACCAACAGGTATGGGGATTTTTTTCTGGAGTTCTAAACATGTTCTAAAGTTAGATGGTGGTGATGGTGGTACAACTCTGAATAGCCTAACAACCACTGAGCTACATACTTTACAAAAGTGAATTGTATAGTACGTCGATTGTTCTTGAAGCTGTTATTTTTTAAATGTCAAGGGGCGTTTAAATCCTAACTTACCGCTTGGCACACCATAAATATTATTAAAGGAATGTGTAAAGGAGAGGATACAGTACTATTTCCTCAGCCCCGGGCCTCCACCCACGGCAGCTCAGTGCTGGGCCAAGGTGGAGCCTGCCGGGCTCTGAACCCAACCAGACATCTGTTTGAGTTCTCAGCTGCCTGGAAAGCTACGCTTTGTCCAAGGAGAGGAGTAAATAGATTTCCTTCCACGTAGCAAGAGGCAGGCCTGCTGGATAGAACCTGGTTTCTCCAGGGGCATCCTGGGCGGGCAGAAAGCCAAGGATGGGAGGACTGTTCTGCGGCCCCGGGACAGAGGGGATGGAGAAAGCAGTGAGAAAGCGAGACTGAGATGTCGTCTGCTCAGGACTCAAAAGGGGGCCGGGGCAGAAACACCCCTGGGGCGCTGAGAATCTGGCACTGGAGCTGGGTTCCCTGAGAGAAGGGACCCCTGGGTTCTGGCACAGTGCAGAGTGCAGGTACACATGGGCGAGGAGAGAAGAGGGCCCAAGGCGGGGCTCCTGGCTCCCCTGGCTTGATGGCAGCATGTAAGGACCTATAGGCTCCCCCACAAGCTCCAGGCACAGGGTGCAGCGGCCCTGGGAGCTCAGAGGACTGGCCTGGAAGCAGAGCCCGCAAAGGCCCTCTTGAAGCGCCAAATGAGACCCGATGGACTTCCACGGCGCACGCGCACATCTCCCAGAAGCCCTGTGTGAGTAATGTGGACAGATAATATCCGGAAATTTAAATCTTTACGTTCTTTTCCCACCTTCCCATAAGATACTATTTTCCCCTTTAGTCTCTCCTTCATATTGCCTGGGGGGCGGGGGGGGGAGTAGAATTGTTACAGCAGGGGTGGAAGAAGCTAGAAGAAGCTAGAAGCAGCTAGTGCTCCTTTTTAAATTAATAAATCAGACATTTGAGAATCAGAAGGGAAGGCTGAGGGAAACAAAGACTGGAGTTTAGGAAGTACTAGGTCACCAGGGAGGCTGGTGAGGGTCTCCCTCCTGGGGGCGCCCCACATGTGCAAGGGGAACAACACATAGGCCACCCCAGCCTGGCTGTGGCAGGGCTGTCACAGCTTCCATCCCAGCTGTCACTCAGGGCCCAGCAGAAGGACAGCTGCTTCTTTCCCAAGATTTTACTGAGCTCAGATGACAGACATCCTCTCTCCCCATTTTCAGTGGCCCCGGTTATTCAAGAGCTCTCAGAAAAGAGGGAGAGAGTCCTTGACATTCAGAAAATAGGGAGAATTGGTAGGAGTGTGGAAGGAAATGTCCCTGGGCCCCAAGGAGAGTGACCCTGTCCTTTTTCCAACTTGCATCAGACACCCTGGTCCCCACATCATACCCTGGTTTTAGGCACTGCTGTGCAGACAGGGCCACATGAGCTCAGTCCCCTCCCACTGCCGGGACTCAGTGGGGGTGGGAGGTGGCAGAAAAAGAGCCCTTCACACATGCTCCTGGGAGACAACTCAGGAGGGGTCCTGGGTGCAGTCAAGGCCCTTAGAGACAGAGTAGACCGAACACACCCGGGCGTCCACCACACCTTTCCTCTTTGCTGCCATTTCCCAGCCTCTCCCTTCTGATCCCTGGGATTGGCTCTCAAACAACCTACACAAAAGACCTGTTTCACAGTCTGTTTCCAGGTAACACCATGGTAAGTTACCACTGAGAATGCTAGGCACCTCTGGTGACACGGCCCTGTCATTAGTGCTGAAGGTGAGCGATAGCTATGTGCCAAGAAATGGGTCTCCACAAACTTGCTTTATGATTTAATTGCCTGTGAATTTTTAATCCTAAAATTTCATAGACAAACCTTGGAGGTCATGTTGTTGGCGCCTTCACTTTAGCAGAAGAGTGGACACAGGCTTAGCTCAGGACCAGGGGAGACCACAGCACAGCTGCCTATGAGGCTCCTCCCCCCACCCCACCCCGCCCGGGCCTCTAAAAGCTGCTTGCTGGCTGTCACAGAGCCTAATAGGACCTAATGAGATCCTATTTGTGGAAATGCCTTATAAACCGCAAAGTTATAAAACTGCTATTTGTCATGATTTGTGCCAGTCCTGGGACTGGAACCCAGAGCTCCGGACTTCCTAATCAGTGCTTCCTACTCAACAATAAGAAGACTGCCTCAGCAATGTAGAATTTCGAATTTCTTATTCTATGGCCATGCTCTCAGACATTTGCTTACTAAAATCCCGTCCCAGCCGCTCTCCTGCTGAGTGCTCCCAGCCAGGCAGTGAGGCTGGGGCTTGGGGTAACCATCTGCCTCCTTGTCTGACTTTTATTCCATTTACTTAAAACAGCATTTAGAACTGTTTTAAGGTCTTCTAGGTACTTTGCAACCCTTGGGAATAGAGCAGTGACCAAGCCAGACACAATCTCTGGTCTCAAGGAGATCGGAGGATAGTTGGGGAGAGACACAGTTAGTGGTCACTCAATTAACTATGCAGTTACAGCCGTGCTGTGACCTGAGTAGGGGACACAATGGCAGTGAGTTAACAGGCCTACGTAATCTATTCAGAGGTCAGAGACTCCTCTGAGGAGGGGACATCGAGCAGAGAGGGAAAGGTGTTTCCTGGCAAGAGACCAGCTGGTAGGAAGGGACCCCCGAGACAACCCTGCCACTCCGGCCGGACAGAGAAGGCTGTGGGGCAGCCTGTGGGCCAGGGGCAAGAGCCAGGAGAGCAGACCCCGCAGGGCCCATGGCTCTGCCAGGGTCTATCCTCAAAGCTTTCCATTAAAGGCAACAGGAAGTCATTGGAGGGTGTGATGCCGAGAAATGACATAATCAGATTTCTGTTTTCAAGGGATCACTCTCCCTGTAAGGTGGCTGGTGAAGGTGCTGGAAGGAGGCCATGGAGCTCTGCGGGGAGCTGTGAGGAGACTACTGAGTGGCTAGCAGGAGGGGACAGGTTGCTGGGATGAGGCTGTAGCTGCAAGAAATAGGGAACTGGATGACCTCACATGACACCTCAAGGTGGAACCTGCCACACTTGGACCCTGGATGTTCGAGGGGAGGCAGCAAAAACTGTCTTTGGTGACCCACAGGATTCTGACCCAAGGAGCAGCAGAAGGGAAGGAGATGCAGGTTTGCGTGGAAGAACAAGGTTTTGGATGTGCTGAGTTTGAGGTGTCTGTCACAGACACAGAGTGGATAGATACATGGGTTTAAGGGCTCAGAACAGAGGTTCAGGCTGCAGGCAGACATAGAAATCCCCAGGCACCAGGGACATTTAAAGCCAGGAGGAGATCAGCCAGGGAACCCAGTGGTGAAGGAAAGATCCCAGGGGAGATCACATTGTAATGGAGTGGGAGAGCATTTGTTCCACCTCTGAGCATGTCCTAGCTACTCACTGGGGGCCAGTCCTCCCATCAGGCATGAGCAAAGGGTCAGTTTAGAATCCCAAAGCCATCTGTATGAAGGCAGACGGACCAGAAAGCTCAGGAGCAGAGGGCGGGGCATAGAGAGGTGACGTTCAAAGCTGCTCTGCCCCTGGGAGCATCTGCTGATTAGTGAGCAGCAGGTGACCAAGGGGTAAATACCAAGGAGAAAGTGGGGGTGAAGTCACTGAGAACTTGAGTGGGAGGTTTGGGTAGTCTCCTGTGGCTGGGAGTCAGATCTGGAGTTCAAACTGCAAGGCCAGCAGGACGCAGGGCCAGGGATCTCTGGAGGAGGAGAGGCCCCTGAGGTCAACACCAGAGTCAAAGGCTCTTTTCCCCAAGGGCCCACCGAAGTGCTAGAGCTCGGCTGAGAGACCAGGAGCTGAGCAGAGTTGTTGGCAGCCTCGTGGGGCTTGAAAAACAGACTTGGAATTGAAATCCCACCAAAGAGCTCTCAGTGAACACCCCAGAGAAGTTATGCAGAGGAGGACGGGTGAGCCAGAAATAGAGCAAGCCTCACAAAGAAACCGCCAGTGGCAAACCAGCTCAATCCCAGGCTGGATTAGGATGACCTTCCTCTTCTCTGCCTTCCGGAAAGCAAAAATAAATCCTCTGTGATGAAAGGTAACATCAGTCAGAGCCCGAAAGCATCTCCATAATAGAAACAGCCCCACAGGGGATCCAGATCTTGGGGTTTTCTGATCCAGACTTTAAAATAGCTGTGATTAATACGGTCAAGGAAAGAGATGACAAGACAGCAACTTTCATGGGGAACTGGATCTGAGCACAAGAATCAGATGGAAATCATAGTGGGACAGATAGAATTTGGACACTGACATCCTTCAAGAATGGCTCACGTGCTTGAATGCAGCTCAGTGGTGAAATGCATGCATGCACCCTGGGGCCATCCCCAGCACATTCTCCCAAAGGAATAGCTAACATTTTCCCAGCAAGCCCGGAGAAAGGGCATCCCAGGGAAAGGTTGGTGACCACGAGGGCCCTGGAAACACCATGGACTGGGGCAGGGTCAGAGGGTAGCAGGATTCCATGGAGGGAAATTCAGGTTGGAAGCCCATCATACTGGAATGTTGGGTGAAGAAATTCGAATTCCATTCTGCAGACTAAGAGTGAGCAATAGTGAAGTTTGTCTTTGGTTTTAGTTTCTTCAAGGTCAATTTAGAAAAAGTAAAAATTGACAGTTTGCATTTGTTTACAAAATTACTCTCATTTTTCAAACATTAGGAAGTGCAATAGCAACACCAGTGCTAAAAGCACTTTTACATGCTTCTCTATCCCTGAAGAAGTTTTTAGGAAAAAAACAAAAACAAAAACAAAACCAGCTACAGAATGAGCCTATCTTACCGTTTTGGAGTGTGACATTGAACTTTTAAACAAATTTTGTTATTGAGCAAGACCTTTTCAGCTGGTTTATTTTCTCCTTCCTTTACTGACCTTGTAAACTACTTAATTGCGAAACGTGGTTTGTCTCAGAGTGCCTCTTAACACTGTATTCTTTCAAATAGGAGATTTTTCCATTGCATAGGAGACCAACAGCAACATCCTCAACATGCGCACAGACCAGGCTTCTCGGTCCACTTACTCAGAGACATATGGTTTTCATCAGCTACTTTTCTCTCCTTGGCAGCCACTGTGGCCTTGATTTACATTTTATTTAGCAAGTGGCCTCTCCTCTCACATCAAACTCCTATTTGCTGTTCTTTCTCTTTCCCGGTCTCACAGGACCCCACCTCTATTGCTAATCCCAAAGAGCACCAACCAATCATAGTCCAAGCAAGCCCAATTGATTGAGTCACCTGTCTGCCAGGCCTGGCTAGTAGAGCCCTGAAGCAGGAAGTCAGCCCAAAGCCATCTAAGGGTTGGAGTAGCCAAGCTGAACCAGAACCACGTCTAGAATAAACGGCCCCAGTGCCACGCCTCTTCTAACCAGGCCCCTCCTCCTAACAGTACATTCAGCCATCCCTGATGAGTACAGCGTCCACTCACCTTCCAAAAGCTCCAGCTCTGAACACGTGAGACTTTATATCTAAACCATAATATCTAAATTGGCAGCAAAGGTGTGTGAGCTCTCCGTGGATCTGATGACCCTTCCTTCTGAGGCTGGCTGAGCTCATTGGCATATAAATGGCCACTGAGTCCTGGTGAAGTAGCCCTGACTAGGTACTGGGAGAGCCAAGGTGTCCAGCATCTTCACCCACCATAGTGATGGGAACAACAATCACGTCTCCCCACAAACGTGCCTCGGCCTCTAGCGCTCTTCTTCATCTCCCCTGCGTCCTCCTAGGACAAGGCTGCTCCTCTCTCACCTCCATCCAAGTCCGTCTGCACCTCCTGCCAGTCTGTTCTCCCCAGAGGCACCCTTTCTTCAGAGCTGAGGATTGAACCCAGGGCTTCATTCATGCTAGATAAAGGCTCTAGCATAGAGGTACATCCCAAGCCTGAACATGATCTTTTAAGAATATAGATAGATCATGCCAGGCCACTTCTGAAAACTTCCTCCAGGGTCTCCATGGCACTGAGATCTGGTCTCAGCATCTGCCTGTCTCCAATCTTATCCTGAGTGACTCCCTCTTGGACCCATTACATCCCAGGCACACGGGACTCTTCAGTTCCTCAGAACCCAGCATCCTAAGCCTCCAAGGGCAGTGGCCACACAGCCCTTCCCCTGGGGACAGCCTCTGCCATTGCAGGGTGCCTCACTCTAGGCACTCTGAAGGACTCCTGCCCCAAGTAAGATCACCACCTCCCATGACTGGTTTAGCTCTCTCAGCATCTAGCCAGCCCTTTATTCTTCAGATGTGGACAGAGGCCCAAGTCCGGGAGGGGGTTACCTACCCCTGGAAGTAAGTTTCAGGTAGGAACAGCCTGGATCTGAGTCTTGCCTCTCAGGATGGGGCTCCTTAACTTTCCCAGGCTCCCTGCTCAGACACCAGTCTGAAAAACAGGCCTACAGTTTGTGCAAGGCTGGGGAGCAAATCCCAGTCTAAGTTCATCCCTCTAGAGCCCAGGGCACGGCAGAGCTCTGGTCAGCCAGGTGAATGTTTCCCATGAGCTGGTGCTCAGCCCGATGCTGGGGGCCTGGCAGCCCTAGGGGCCCTGGGTCTGAATCCTGCACTGTGAGACCCTCAGCCACACAGAGGCAACCAGCAGGCTCTTAGATCTTGCTGGAGGAGGAGGAAGAGGGTCCTATGCCTCAAGGACCCCAAGACTGGTACTCCAGCTTGGGAGGTGGAAGACTTGGGAAATAAAGACTTGGGCTGTTTCAAGAGGGGCTCTTAGATTGTAGGGCAGAAGGGGACTCGGGGTGCAGACTTGAGAGATGATAGAGCCAGGGGGAGAGGGTGTATCAAACTGGGCAGGTGGGGCCAGTGCAGACATCTCTGGGTTGTAGTTAAGCTTGAGCAGCAGGAAAGAAAAAGTTGCTATTTAAACAACCAACAGAATTATTCCATCTACTTCTGCCCTCCAAGGAGGTGACATAATTCCTATCAAAGGGATGATGTATCTTTACATGGCTGTGGAGGCTGGTAGGGGAAGGAGTTGAAAGTAATGATTTGATTGTGGTAAAGGAAAAGTCATTTCAAAGCTGGTCCTGAGCGGGCTTCTGAGCAGGCTGAGGTGGCCCAGAGGCAGTAGGGTAGGGGTAGGGTTAGGGCTGAGCCATCCCATGGGAGAAACGAAGGGGAAGCTGGGCCTCCAGGAGGTAGACTGACTCGAAGGAGGGTGGAACACAACAAAGGCAACAGCTGATATTTGACTTTAAGGTGTTTTTTTGTGCTAAATGCAACTAGGTCTCCCAGTTACATGTAGGAAAGACTATGTTACGTATGCTTTATGCTAGAGCTTCTCTGGGGGAATCCAGGGAAAGAGCTGTGTTTTACGTTTGTTTTGACAGAAGACAAAAAGGAGAAAATAACCTCAGGAGGAGGAGGGAGGGAGGGAGGGAGGGAGGAAGGAAGGAAGGAAGGAAGAATGAGGGAAGAAAGAAAAGGAGGGAGGGCATTCAGTAGAAGCATAGTTATCAGAGTAAAGAGGGACTGGGAGCAAATCCCCAGAAGTATTACAGGAAGCCCTGGGTTTCCCTCTTTGGGGCTGAGGGCTTGATCCATTTTCTCTTGTATATTAAAAGTCATGGTGGGCCCATAAGGCCATAAGACTTGGGGTTATCCAAGCACCAGTCGCCTGGGTTTTCATTTTGTAACTTGCTAGGAGCCAGAAGAAGACAGAGCAGGACTGGGTGGGGTTCGGGAGGCCCTGTGGAGCCTGGAGGGCTCACTCTCTTGGCGTTTAAGCATGGTCTGCTCCTGCAAAGCCAGGTCCTCGGGTCTCCTCAACCAAGGGGCCTGCAGCACCTTGTGGATCAGGAAAGAAGTGATCACACCACTTCCTGCTCCATGTGTGCACACACACACCCCATACAGACACACTTACACCACACCTCCGCTCAGATAATAGAAACACGTCTCTGTGTTTCCCCTGCTCCCTTCCTCTCGACTTTTCTTAGAGCATTTTTTAAATTATGAATTGGCTCATTCACAGTAAAGATGGCTGAGTGGTTTCGTCTGTATTTGGGGGCAGCCCTGGATGCTTTGGACTGTAAAGGAGGGACACACTCCTTTCCCTCCCACTTAGAAACCGAGGTTGCTCCAGGTCTGACTGCAGAACTCCCTTAGTTGAGCCGAGTTGGTTTGTTCTTCATAGATGTGGCGATACCCCCAGATCACAGCCATGGCCAGGACCCCAAAAGCCTCACCACCACCTGAGCCCTGGGAATCAAACTCATATCTCAATTTCTTCAGAGAAGAGTCCATCGTGTACTTGATTGTAATATAACTCTTCCCCAGGGAATTAGTGTGTACTTCTTAATCCAGAAGAGGATGACTAGGGCGGAGGACATCTACAAACCACCTCAGAGGTAACGCGTATCGGGGATACTGAGTCTAGAGAAGAGCAGACCAGGGAGAACACACCATTGTTAGCACTCTCACTCATAAGTGAAAGAAATGTAACAAAGCGGATTAAGCAGAAAAAAATATTGGCTTACGTGAAAGGGAAGATGGAGTAAGCATCAGGAATGTCTGGATCTAGTATCTCAGCAACGTCCTTGGGGTTCGCTCTTCCAGCTGCCTGTTTCCACTTGGTGTTATCTATGGCTGAACCCTGTGCCTCAAACCCCATCCTTCAGGCTCTGTCTCTTGCCATCTCAGAAATATTTTCTCTGCATGACTTTTTGGTCACCAGTAGCCCTACATTCCCATCCTACCAGTTGAAAGACTTCACCAAAATAAGACGGTCTTTCCTAGCAGCTCTGTTGGCCAAGTTCTGGGCCCAGCTGGGTGCCACAAGCTGGGATCGCAGCTCCGTACCTGAAGCAGCAAGGGTGGCCAGCTCAGATGCTCCTTTGACCTAGCCTGGGTCATGAGAACACTCGCTGTTTGGGGGACAAGTCAATCAGTTCTCACCAGACCGCATGGAAGAGGTCCCCTCAGGAGGGGGTTCTGTATCCTCAGAGGGACAAAAGCAGCAGGTGCCCACTGCAGCCCTCTATAACGTCATGAAAGAGTGTCTATAATACAAGTTTGATCATACCACACTCTTTTTTTTTTGTATGTATGTATGCAGTCTAGGGATTGAATCCAGGCCTTCACACCGAGCTTCATTCCCAGCCCTTCCCTCCCTTTTTATAGTTTTTATTTTGAGACAGAGTCTCGCTAAGTAACTGAGTTGCCCAGGCTGGACTCAAACTTGGGATCCTCCTGCCTCAGCTTCCCAGAGTACAGGGATTACAGGTGAGTGGTGTCACCGCACCCGGCTACCACCATCTTTTGTAGTGTCTTTCAGCAGTTTAGCTCACAGGGAGGGCAACTGCCTAGCAAACATGAGGCCCTGGGTTCAATCCCCAGTTCTGGGGGGCAGGGTATGGTAAACCACCATCTTTCTTACTGTCCTTCAGTAGCTCCCCATGGCCTACAAGATAAGGCCCAATTCCTTGAGTGCCTGCAAAGCCTTGCATGCTCCAGCCTGCTCCCTGCTCAACCCCACCCACCTCCACTGTACCCAGCTCCCTCCTGGCCCCTTTGTACCCAGAGCCACTAGGCCTCTTGCTCCTGCCAAGCACAAAGCATGGGCCAGCCTTCCTGCTAGTTCTCCACACCACAGCTAGAGTCAGGGGAAACCTTGGCAAGAACAGAAGTACCTACCAGATGCATCTTATCACTATTCTAAGAAGTGGCTCTGCTGAGAGCACTAGGCCCAGAGCTGACTTCCAAGTTTTCTCAAGCCCTGCACACCTCAGGATGAAGCTTTTCCCACCTGCCTCTCTTTGCAGTCCAGGTCTAAGTGACCCCAAGTCACCCCATCCCCAGGAAGTCATGTTTTCCTCTCACCTCTGCCACCTATACTCTCTTGTCCTTCCCATAACTAGCCACTTCCCTGCATTACTGATCATGGGGGGTGTCAAACAATACCTACAGGACATTTCTCCAAAGCTGGTGATTAAAATATCACCTCCTAAAAAAATAATAAAGTAAAATAAAATTGCACCTCCTGTGGGACACCAACTCCCAGCCCTAGTTGGGCTGTGCCTGGGAGCTTCCGCCTAAACTGAGGAAGTGAGCCCTTCTGTCCCCTACGCAGCTCCTCATCGGATGCAAACAACTGACCCCAGAGTAATACACACAGCTTTGCAAGAACACACGAATTTCAGGCATAGAATAGTCTGATTCCAAATTAGGAGATGGTAGCATTCTAGATAAAACAACCCTGGGAGACATAATCCAACCAATTCACTAAATGTATATTACTAACGGGTGTTAACATCTCATGAGTCAGTGATCTCCTGTAGGGTCCCAGAGTGCTTTCTCATACTCAACAAGACATAGGCCGGTCTTTGCTTTGTATTAACAGAGCTCAGGGGTCAGCTCAAATGGTGCATTCTGAAACAATAGAACATCTTCCACAAAGCAAGTTCTGGTCTCCTCAAACAGGCGGGCCCCTCTTGAAATCCTGAAATGTAATTTTTTCTCAGTTAAAAAAACTTATAATTTTATAATTCAGGACAAAAGACAACAAGCAGAGAGAGAAGGTGAAGGCTGACTTCAATATTTTGTCTTGGGAGATCTATGAAGACATCTAATCAAAACCAAAATCAAATCAGATATGGGAATTTCCCAGACTTGTTCCAAATAGCAAAATGTTATATAACTTTTTAAAATTTCATTTGAAAATAGAGCTAAGCTCAGAAACAAGAAAAAAAGATTTTCTAGGTAGCAAAAATGAAGCAGAAATCATAGAGACTCAAAAGAGGCCAACCCCCCAAAAAAGTCGGAGGCAATAATGAAATTACCTGTACAGAGGCTTGCCACCCCGAGGTTGCTGTGAAAATAACTCCTGTTGAAGCTGAGCTCCCAGACAAGGATTTAAAGCGTGTGGGGAAGTCCAAAGCCCAGACAGACATTCTACCGGCCCAGCAAATGGAGTAACTCACAGCCGAGAAACTAGAGACTAGAAAGTAATCTGAAAAAGGCCTCAAGATTGAGCAAACATTTAAAGAGCTAAACAGAATAGAGATAGATAACAAGAATAGAACAATTAATAAGAACATGAGGATTTGCAATCCCTAACTATGCCTGTGGGGTTTGTCTCCTTCTCCTCCTCCTCCTCCTCCTCCTCCTCCTCCTCCTTCTTCTTCTTCTTCTTCCTCTTCCTCTTCTTCTTCCTCTTCCTCTTCCTCTTCTTCCTTCTTCCTTTTTTTTTTTTTGGTACCAGGGATCGAACTCGGGACCTTGCATTTTTGAGGCAGGCAGTGGCACCACTGAGCTAAATCCCTGGCCCTGTCTGTTTCTTCTTATTGGTCTCTGATTTTGTTTCATGTTTATGTCTGGTATTACTATGTCCTCTTGGTGAATTGATTCTCTATGAAGTGATCTTCTTTATCCTTAGAAGTATTTCTTACTCTGAACCCTGCTTTGTATGACATTAATATAGCCACTCCAAGGATGGTAATAAAAAATTAAATGTAAATGGCCTAATTAAAAGGCATAGATTGAATTTTTCCTTTGAACTATGATCTATTATATAAAATACTACCCAAAAAGCTCACTTTACCCATAGTTAGTTATAAATAGGTTAAACACTGAAGTTTATTCATATACTTTGCCTATTTTTCTCCTGGATTATCCTTTTTCTTTTGATCTATAGGAGCTCTTTATATAACAGCACAAATATTCTTTTGTCTGAGGTGACCATATAAGTGATCATCCAACTCAGTATACTTTTGAGAGGCACAAATATTAATCCAGATGGGATACCAGGATAATAAGTATTAACTAGAAGTATCCTGAGATACTCTATTATTATCAGCTGCAATTACATCCAAATATGTTAATTACTTTTAAATTTTAACAGACATTATTAAGACAGTATTAGAGTTGCAGAAACTTACAGCAGGAAAGTATAAAGGTTCCATCTATCCCTTGTACTCTAACCCCCACAATACACAGTTTCCCCTACTGTTAATATCTTGCATTATTGGGGTACATTTGTTACATTGATGAACCAGTATCAACACATCATTAACTATAACCCATGGTTTATGTTAGGGTTCATTCTATGTTGTATAATTTTATGGATATTGACAAATGCATGGTGCCCTGCATTTGCTGTTCTAGTATCATACAGAATAATTCTGTCACCTTAAAAATGGCCTGTGCTCCATGTAGTTGTCCCTTTCACTCTCCCCTAAACACCACTAGTAACCACTGATCTTTACTGTCCCTCTAGCTTTGCCCTGTGCAGACTGACATATAGTTCAATCATACAGCATGTAGCCTTTACAGACAGGCTCTTTCACTTAACACATACCTAAGTTTCTTCCATGATTTCTTGGGGCTTGATGGCATCTTTCTCTTTATTGATGAAGAGTCCATTGTATTTACATCCCACAGTTTGTTTATTTATTCACCTATTGTAGAATATCTTGGTTGCTTCTAATTATAAGCAACTATGAATGAAGCTGCTATAACATTTGTGCATAGGTTTTTGTGTTAGCAACGCTTTCAAATCATTTTGACAAATACCTAAGAGTATGATTGTTAGATCATGTGGTAAGCCTATATGTTTAGGGTTACCTGAACTTTTCGCTTTATAAGAAACTGCCAAACAATCTTCCACAGTGGCTGTGCCATTTGCATTCCTGTTACTCCACATTCTCTTCAACATTTGGTATCGTCAGTGTTTAGGGTTTTAGCCACTTTAAGAGTGAAGTGGTAGCCACCACTATTTTAACTTGCAATTCTTTAGTGACATGTGATGTTGAATATCTTTCTGTCTACATATTTGACACCTGTGTGTCTTTTTTTGAGAGGTTAGGTGTTATTCCAATATTTCACTATCTTTAAACTGGTAGGATGTTGTTTTGATAGTGGGGATGGAACCCAGGGCTTTGTGGATGCTAGGCAAGGGCTCTACCACTAATATACCTCCCCAGCCTAAGACTTATTTGTATATTTGAGATACACATTTTTCATCATATACATGTTTTGAAAAGATTTTCTCCCAGGCTATAACTTGTCTTTCCCTTTTCATAACAGTGTCTTTCACAGAGCAAAAATGTTCATTTTATTAAAGTCCAATGAGGCCATTTTTTCTTTTATGAGTCATGTTTTGGGTGGTATATCTAAAAAGTCATCACCAAACCCAAGACTACCTAGATTTTGTCCTATATAGTCTCTATAGTTTTGCAATTAAGTCTGTGATCCACTTTGAGACAATTCCTACAAAGAGTGTCAAGCTTGTGTCTAGATCCATTGATTTTGCCTGTGTATGTCTAATTGTTCCAGCAGCAAAAACTGTCTTTTACCCATTGAATTATCTTTGCTCCTTGGTCAAAGGCCACGTGACTGTTTGTGAGGGTCTATTTCTAGGCTCTCTTTTCTGTTCCATTAACTTGTCTGTTTTTTTCACCAGTATGATACTGCCTTGATCATTGTAGACTTACAGTAAGTCTTGAAGTCAGGTAGTGTCAGTCTTCTGACTCTGTTCTTCTTCAGTATTGTGTTGGTTATTCTGGGGGTTTTGCTTTTCCATACAAGCTTTAGAATCAGTTTGTTGAAATCCACAATATGACTTGCTGGATTCTGATTGGTATTGTGTTGAATCTATCAAATGAGAAAAAAAGATGTCTTAAAACTATTGAATCTTCCTGTCCATAAACATGAAATATTTTTATCAGAGTTTTCCTTCAACAGAGTGTTGTAATTTTCTTCATATAGAGCTTATATATATTTTGTTGGGTTTATACATAAGCCACTCTCCAATCTCTCTCTCTCTCTCTCTCTCTCTCTCTCTCTCTCTCTCTCTCTCTCTCTC